TTTGTACTTTAGATTTCTACCTGATTCAATGTAAAGAATACCGATCATTCTGAAAACATTTTTTCGGAAAAAATTTGATGATTCAAGTTAAGCACAATGATAAAATTGTAGAAATTAAATTGAAAATACAAGAAATAACAGGAATTTATCTTGATACATTAAAGCTTGCATTTAGACAATAGATCACTTGACGACAAGCATACACTAGACGACTAAGATATCAAATATGAATCGATATGTCACTTAGCATTATGACTATTTGGTTCTCATATCTGTATTCTGGGTATGCCGTTCGTCCATGTGAGTAATGCAGCTGGTTTGAGAGAAAATTTCTTAGAATCTTCTAAAAGATATAGCAAATGATCAGTTTTATGCTCATTCCATTCCAAAATTGCGAGCTTTTATCTACTTTCTAAATAGGTGAAACTATTTTAAAGCACATGCACATGTAGAAAAGAAAAGCTTTTTTAATATTTAAGCCTACAAGTCTTTATGACTGTTTACATCCACAAAATGAGCATTTCTCATAAAAATGCATGCATAATTCATTATAGTCGTTATTAACTAGTCAGTTGGTGTCTCATATACTTCTTCGCTTAGTGTTATACAATTCATTCTCATACTACTGTGTGATATGTCAATCAACCAAATTAATAAAACAAATAGTTCATGTGGAGGAACACCTTGTTTCATACTTGTTTATCGAGTTTTTGACAATAATGCTCACGCGTACGATTCGTACAAGGATACCATTTAGGAGCTTGAAATTAAATTTATTTGCTTTCTGTCTCTTGTATAAATCTCTTTCGTTCTCTCACATCTGAGTTCGGCTCTTTTTCAGCTACGATGAGAAGTCTTTAACAAAATGGAACTTGACACCTTTCGTTCTTGTCACATCATGTAATTAATGTAGTTAGTTTTCAACTTTCATGGATTGTCACAACCATTTTACTCCATTTTTTGATTGCATGGTATGTTATTTTTTTATATTTTGTCTATTACACTCTCAATCGATATGATTTTTTTTCACTAAGTGTCTTCTAAGTTATATTTTCTTTCTTTTAAACTTATGAAACCTCAACATGCATGCGTTTTATTACTCTAATAAGGGAATAGACATGCATGCAGGTAAATAATTAGGTGGTTGCATATGTATTGAGACATAGCCAGATTGACAGATAGAAATGTAGGTAAGGATATAGCCAGTTACATAGTTAGTTAGCTATACGGAACTATAAAGTCTCTCTTTCAAAAGTAATTGTGTGCAACTTCACTATTAATTGAACTCTATTGACTAGTCATGTGTTGTAAAACCAGAAAGTTGCCTTTTTTCTATTTCGAAAAAAACATTTTTTAACAGTTCTTTTCGATGACTTCAATATTCAGCATTAATTCTTAAATCATTCAGCTCTTGAATAATCATTTTATAAACATTCGTTTTGATACTTTATTATCAAAAGAGATTCAATAGTGTTCAGTAAGATCATTATAAAGTCCATGAGTTGAGTTCGTCTCTTTCAGTTCACGAATTATCGAACCTTTCATCTAAACAGTAACAGCTGTCAGAGAAAACTCTGATTACTACTCCGTTTTCTCAACATATAATGACTTGTATCATAGGTTAGTCAGTATGGAAATTACGTAGGTTGTTTCAAATACAGTCAAATCTTACTTTATCAACCGCTAAAAATTCAAAGTGCACTAATAATAAGTAAGTTAGCATATTCATGCTATTTTCAAGTAGACTCTGTATAATCCAGTCAAAGATGCATTTTTTATAATGGCCTTGTTGGATATTATTAATTTCTTTTGATAAGAAAATATTACAACAAATATGTTATAAAACGACCACTCACGATCTGAATGATTTAAAAATTAGAGTCATGCAAGGGAGAGAAAGCTAATTGTCTGATTGCCTAGATTGCTATTGATTGTGGATGATTGCCGATGATTGTTGATGATTGCCATTGATTGTGGATGATTACCATTGGTTGTGGATGATTGCCATTGATTGGGTGTGGGTGCGTGTGGGTGTGGGTGTTGTGCATTTCTTCAAGCTGACCCCACACCCACACCCTATAGATCTTAGTAGTCCAAGAAAAATCTAGTAGTTCTTTTAATGAAGAAGGTATGCATTCATCAAAAACTTGTTGGACAAGTGTACTCATGGCACTTTTTCCTTGAGTTCATCAAAAGGTCAATATTTAGCCTAAATTCGACACTTTTCTATCGTACCGAACTTTTTACTTTAACGGTTTATACGTTGATGGTCGTTTGAACTTTTTGGCACTATCATTGTTCATTTTTTACATTTTCATCTTGTCTTTAATAATATCCGTACATTACACTAGGACTGCAACAATATCTTTATAGACGGCATCTCTGAATTGCAAGAATGTCATTTGTGTTCACTATTATATTCTGACACTATGTTCTTATGAATAGATCGGAGGTAGCGTAGTTTTATGAATTCTTTTTGAGGCAGAATTGTTATTGAATATTGAAAAATATAACAAGAACGTTGAACTGCCTTTGGTCTGCTGCACAAATTGAGACAAATACTTTGAGAAGTTAATTTTGCTATAACAAACCATGCAATACATTGTGATATATTGCCCTTTCAGTTTCATCGCAAGCGGTAACATTACGGCGAGCTGTGAGACAGGACGGCATTTCGTTGACGACTCAAGTGGCTTTTTCATGTTTGTAATTTTTATTATGTCGTGATTACTCTGAAAACATATTTCACTTTATTGTAGTGCTTGAAGTGTTCTAGGTGATTCAAAATAAGGCTTTCTTTTTAGGGAACACAGTGGTGATCATTAGAACTCAAATGCCCTATCAATACATCAACTATCGAATTTCGACATTGTGATATTTTGAAGAAATCGTAGGCAATATTTTTTTCGCACATCTTTTTCATCGTTCTGTAGCATTGGACAAAAAACATCATTAATATGTGGGATAAAAGAGTTTTCTATTTTTTTTTCCTTTTTCTCATCGGCTATGTACTATATTGGCTTTATTTATTAAAACTATACCCAATTACTATTGACGTTTCTGAAAAGTATACGAATGCAGATTCATCTTTGATTCGTATGTATCCTCGTTCTCGATTTTTGTTAGATGGAAAGAATGCGATCGGTTTTCTTGTCGCTGAAAACTATGCAGCAGTATCGTCTCAATTAGTCCAACTCGATAACGGATTTCAAGATAACAAAACGTCTATTATCATTATATTTCACACGGGATATCCGCTAAGAAAGGATCTCGCGTTAATTAATAATGCAACACAGCGACAAGTATTCTTTCTCAATATTGACCATATCTTTTATTCGTTTTCACGTGACTTTGATCCTTATTTGACCGAGCCAACCTTTCGGAAACGAGGTAAATGGAACTATCAGAATATGATTAGATTCTGGTTTAAATCAATCTTCGAGTTGCCAGAACTGGAAAGTATTAAATATTTGATGCGTTTAGATGACGATTCAAGAATTCTGGGAAATTGGTCCAACATATTCGACATTATGAAGTCAAAAAATGCCGTTTATTTTGCAAATGAGGAACGATATGAACACGAAGATGTGCTACCCGGAACCATGAATGTGAAGAATTTAACCGTTAACTATCAACAATCTGCCAAAGTATCTGTACAGGATCCGATTAAATTGAAGCGTGCACTAAGTAGAAAAAATGCAGTGCTGCTTTACTACAACAATTTTGAAATAATGAAACTTTCTTTTTTCCGCAACAAGAATGTGCGATCTTGGATCGACAATGTCGATTCAAGTAATGGAATATTCAAGTATCGATGGGGTGATGCTGTTCTTCGTTATATCACATTAGCCCTATTCGCAAAACCGAGCGAAGTACTTCACAGATCTCATTACAATTTGTCGTACTGTCACCCATGTATACATTTTACAAAGAAAATATAGGAACGAAGTCTGGAAATGAAATATTTGTAGTCTACAGGATATGAATGCAACTGAATACTCGAGTCGATCGGGAGCAGGCTTTTTGGGCAAGCTATAACTTGTTATGTAGAAATTTCTGTAGCTAAGTACTGTTGTATCATGCAGTTTCTGGAACGTGATTCTGCTTCGTGTGTGACTGTGAGTGTGGGTGTGGGTATCAGAATAAATCACATCCACACCCACACCCACACCCACGCCCGCCACCCACACCCACATTCACACTCACACACCCACACCCAACACCCCACACCTCACAACCGCACCCACACTCACACCCTACACCCCATACCCATATTCAACACCCCACACTCACCCACACCCTTTATGTGATGTTTTGATTAAATTTTATACAGTTGACATGCAAATGTAGGTAATCTCATCATTGTATAGAAGCGGCCTACGACATCATCTTATCGACATCATTCTGTTTCATATATAAAAACACAGTTTGAGATTGAAAAAAATTTCTTTAAAAAAAAGGTTATCGATAATATATACTTTGTGATCACTATGAAATAAATTGATATACGAGGCTTTATTATTAAATTTCCTACAATACAAAGCAAACTAAACATTATAATAAGTTAAAGTTATATGTCAATCATCATAATTTCTATAAATAATTCGATCGTTTATAGGTTGTACCGGTCGATAAACTTTTCGCATTACATTATCGCGTAGTAAATTTAAACTTGTTTCTGCAATTGGAATTATATTTGGAAATATTGTCCATATGACGCCTTCAGTACACGGAGGCGTTGTTAAACTACCAGTATAGCGAAAAAATTGTCGACCTTCGATTTGCATTAGATGACTTAAATCGAACATATAATTAAATGTATCGCCAATATTTTTCAAATGTGTTGCACCGTCTGCGTAATGTTTCCATTCAATATTTTCTTCATGTAATGGACCAGCTATGTCGAAAAAGAATGCAAATACAGCCACTTGTTTATTTTCAAAATTCTTATGAACAAAATGCGCTTCGGATGGAAATTCACGCCCATCAATTTCATGTTCAGATCCATGTCTGTCATTGCTACCCCAATGTAAATGAAAATTAACGAAATGAAACTTTCCACTTAGACCACCACCAGTAAACCATAGATCGGGTTGATTTTCAATATCGTTTCTTTTAGCTAATGTAGCAGCAACTTGATGACCCGTGTTCTTCAGTGTAAATAACAACTTATCCGCATAATTTGGGGAAAATATAAATGGTGGGTAGTGTTGACGGACGGTTTCATCTAATTTGATATTGATAGGCGACTGAACGCGACCTCCGGCAGCTGGAAATCTTTCATGCCATTTATTCGGATCGTCATAACTCCAGTAATCATCGAATGCATCAGCGCACGACATATAGATAAGAACGTTTTATATCTGTTGAAACGAGAAGCTCGCTGGCAGCTGATGATCAAGCTGTAAAAAAAAACAAAAAAAAAATAATATATACCTGATTTGCACTCAGCTCATCGAACAGACGATTCGGATATACTATTTTTGTACCATACTGTTACACACACGGCTATAACTATTAATAAGGTTAGCGAAGACAGTAGGAAAGAACTGTATTTTCCTCTTCCCTATTCTGTCGTTTCCTTTTTTGCAACTTGGCAGTGCCGTGGTAATATCAGTAAGAACCAAATTAGTAATCGAGCACATATATTTTTCTCTTGTGTTCTCTCACGTATCGAGCGGGCGATTTCTTGGCACATGCGAATGATAATGGAAGTAAAAAAGATTCCAAAATACACCACTGTACCCATACGCATAGTACTAGGAAAAAGCACTCGGCAACTAAGCTTGACAAAGTAGGAATTCTAGTCGCTCGTCTCTAAACAATTCTTACTTTGTTCAATTTGTGTATCAATCAAGATTCTCACGCAGACAAATGAATGGTTAAAACGTTGTTTTTCCGCGTTATTGATAAAAATTGAAGAAAATAACACGTTGACACTCATTAACTCAACAAATTAAAGAAGTAAACGCGTAGAAACCTTTTTTTTGCTGTCAACGCATTTTAACGGATTTAACAAAAACATTAGATATATTTAGCGATGGACAGAGACGACTTCGTCTATCGTGAAATGATATATATCTTTAAAACGTAAGAAGGAAAGAAAGGAAAAAACAATTGCGTTACTGACGTCAGTTTCAGTCGATTATCATATATATGTTCTTTCGGTATAACGTTATAACGCTGTATTGCGTAGTAGTAATATAATAAAGACTATAATTAGACGACTATGAAAGAAACATATATGTATTTCGTCCGTCGTCGAAATCATGTATTGATTGTTCATAACATAATAGATGTAGTCACTTAATTTTTACTGTTCAATATTTCAACGTATGAATTTAGATGGCATACTACAATGTCAGAAATCCGAGATCGGCTTTAAATTGTTGATATTGCTCTGTTTGCTTTCTATCTTATAAAATAAAATAAATTAAATATGCTATTCTATGTTTAAATCTTTCGCTCTTAGATTACGTTTCTAATTAATCATATGATAGGTAGCGTTTTAATTATGATCTGTGACGAAGTTTACAACTCCATAGAATATTTTTTCTAATATGGAGTAACAAACATTTGGATTTCATATTTTACGTTATCAATAGTATCACTAATATAAAGAATTTTTCAAGATTAACCAGCAATATATATTTTAGAACTTTATGTAGCTTATACATGCTTTTTTTTCAATCGCAATATATGAAGATTTATTTCTTTATTTCTAGATATTTATATATACATTTTTCAGATTTTTGTATCATGTCAAAGTCAGATGCGAACAATTCACATTTAACAAATGTTAATACTATTTCTTCATCATCATCAACATTCGATTCGACTTCGATGTTAACGCCACGACAACCACACTGATATAATTTGTAGTACATCAACAACTCCTATATCGACACCAAGACGAATCGTCAAAGCTAAGCATAGTTTAGTATGAAGATATTTCAACAGTTCAAATGCCAATATATTGAATGTCGAATGTATTCTATGTTCATCCATCATTCTTCGTAAATCATCATCTACTTCTAATTGATTACGTCACATACAAACACAACATAATTTTGAATATCAAAATTTGAATAAATCTATGAAATTGCAAACAAGAAACGTCTGACTTATCACCCAGATTACCTTTAACAAATGATCGATCTCTTTATTTAACTAAACTAATTGCTGATTTAATTATTTATAATTTTCTACCTATATCAATTGTTGAAAGTTCTTATTTTCAAGCAATTCTTCAAGAAACTGAACTATCATATATTATACCACAACGAAAATATTTTATTAATTATGTTTTTCAAGAAATGTTTGTTGAAATTTGACAAAAAGTTTATGAAGCATTAAAAACAACACCAGGTGATTTATTCTATATTCAGAATGATCTTTAGTTTCTCTTTCTAATGCTTTAGGTATTTGTTTAACAACAGATATTTGGATGTCTCGAGCTAATCAGGCTTATACGACTATTACAGCACATTTCATAGATGTGAAAAACAATAAAATAAAGAATTTTTAGGAAATCATACAGCTGAACGTATTGTGAAACGTTTAGAAGATCTTTGTAATGAATGGTCAATTAGTGATAAAATTATATGTTTAGTATCTGATAATTGTAGTACAATGAGAAAAGCTGGAAGTGATTTCTGCAAAGCTACTATTTCTTTTATATTTTCAGACTTGTGATAATTAGTGATTTACAAATACAATGGATAGGATGTAACGATCATCTCATTGATTTATGCGTTAGTAGTGTTATTCGAAAGCTTGATAAAGTTGAAAACATACTGGTGATATTTCGACACATTGTATCATACACTAGAGATTCTCATTTAGCAAATGAAATATTGAATAAATATCAGAAATCATTTGGTAAAAGACTCAAATCGTTTTTTTAATGGATACAGAATTAAATTCTCCTAGGTTTTGTTGAACGACAATTAATATTCTATGTAAAAACCAGATGGAACAGCACTTTCTATTTGCTGCAAAGGTTTATTCAAGAAAAATATGCATTACAGCTTGTCTTCATGAGAAGTTGTTTATTAAAAGTTTAAATAATAATAAACTTTCAAGAACGGTAGAATGGGATTTGATGGATCAACTAATGGTGGGATACTATTTTAAATATCAATTATTTCAGGGCATTAGTGAAAGATGCTGACACTCACTAACACCCATTCATCTATTATTTTGATGAAATTTGAGGAGTTACATGGTATACAAATACCAACTAACACTCACTAACACCAAACAACACTAAACTAACACCACACTAACATCCACCCATATTAACTACCCATCACTCTCACCCTTTAGAAAGCGTCTCAATACATTTTCAGAAGTCCCACTGTACACTATACCGTGTTAAAACTTTCTAATATCGCAAGAGTGGCTACTAACACCGCACCAACATCACACTAACACCGCATGAACACTCACTAAAATCTCACTAACACTCCCCAACACTCTCATAGAACAGTTTTTTTTGACAAAAGGTTACTTTTAGAATGTAAACGAGATATCTATTAATGCATTATAACTCATCATCATTGTTCAGGGGAGAACTACAGAAATCGCAGAAGACTTTGTATATATATTAAGGAAAAAAACATATTTGTAGGCATTTATTCGGAGTTTTATCCATTTATTGTGCACGACTGCCTGAGGATAGTATAGTTGCCAATGCGTTCATGAAGTCTTGATTTCATACTCGAACTTCGTCGATCTCTTCTTCGCTGATATTCATATATCCTCAATGCTGAATATCACGAAGCATCGCGCTATGAACAGTGAGTCACACTACACGTTCTATATGTACGCCGGTCAGTTCAACAATACTGTAAATGATTTTCTGAACGTTTACATCGACGCCAAGAATGCTGTTGCGTGAAAGTTCCTTCGTATAAATGTAAAAAATGCGCAGCGGTCCTTCATCATCGGGTGTTCTGACCATGATAATTGTTCCGGTACGACTAGGTCGTATCAATGCTGGATCAACAGCATCTAGCATATTGGCTGTTGCAACTAGGGCGTGGATGTGAGTGTGTGGGTGTGGTGTGGATGTGGGTGTTGGTGTGGGTATGGTGTGGATGTGGGTGTGTGGCTATGGTGTGGATGTGGGTGTGTGGGTGGATGTGGTGTGTGGGTGTAGGTGTGGTGTGGATGTGGGTGCGGGTGTGGGTGTGTGGTGTGGGTGTGGGTGTGGGTGTGGTGTGGATGTGGGTGTGGTGTGGATGTGGGTGTGGGTGTACAGGAAAATAACACATACTGACACTCACACGTACACCCACGCACACACCCACACCCACACCGAGACCCACATCCACATTCACACCAACATCCACATACCCAAACCCACACCATTTTCTCAATAGAAAGAGAAATCTAATTTGATTTATCTGATTGATATTGATTATGAAGGAATCAAGTTACAATTTTCTCCTCAATTGATGAGATGAATAAAAATTCCTAAAACGTTTCTTTGCAAAGACGATTTTAAGGATAATAAATGAAAATATTATGAATTTCTTTCTTTTTAATAAAAGAATGAAGATTTTTATGTTTTTATTGAATAGAAGAGGTACTCAGCAATAAGACAAAATTAGAAACACCAATCAAGGAAGACGGAGAATTGCTTATTTCTTACGGTCAATAGGAATACTGATCGAAGCACCAACTCCCTAATTAGGCTTTGAATAACTCGATCTCTATTTAATAAATAGAAAAGCATTACAACTAAAGTATATGGGTGCATGATTTTGTTACGAATGAGGCACCACCTCCCAAGCCTAGATATGCGCCATTTTAACCAAGAGGATGTCTATATCCTAAACCAACTCCAAAGTCAGGTCCTTGCTGATAGTTGAAACCCTGAAAAAGCCGTATGTGATCTAAACTACAGTCTGTAAATCATCCTACTTCATAACGATCGACAGCACCTGATATTGAACCACAAGACCAAGCGACGGCTTTGAGGGTCCATTGTAAATCAAAGGTATACCACCACCCACTTGACCACCCAAGTGAAAGCCGGAATTTCGCACCGCCGAATCGATTTTATAGGCTCCGTTAGCCTATAGAATCATAAAAACACTTCGCTGATTTTCTTTTGGGGAAAATAGAGAAAATAAGAATGTCGACAATAAATCACTTGATATAGTCAGCTTTTTTGAACTATTAAAATGAATAATTTGACCTGTTTATACAATCTTGTTAAACAAAACGAATTATCCATTTATCTCTTGCCAAATCTATATCGATAAAACTAGACAATGGAAATACCTTGCCAGTCTGAGCTGCTTGCCAAGCTCAATTGAATGCTTCTGTGCCATCTAAACCGATATGCAGGCCATTAATCGAATTATCGAACTGGCGGCGTTGCCGTGCTACTGGTGCAGCGTAGCATTGATAGCGATAGCAAGAAGCAGCACGAAACGAAGAAAGAAAGATGATGATGACATTGATTCAACTGTCTTCTCACCTATCACCCGTTCGAATTTATATGGCAACTTCTTCCTCTTGTTCTATGATGCACTTTTCAATTAATCTATGACTCAAACTAATAGAGAAATTTCCTTCATTTCTCACGAACAGATAAGATGCACTTTAATCCTGACATTTGCTACCATTTTTATTTAAAATGAATGATTGAAATCCTACGATTACTCACTTCCTCATGAGACAGAATATTCTATTATGTGTATACAAACAATAATTTGATGAAGTGTATTTGATCTTTACCTAGTTGGGTGTGGGTATGGGCTGTGGGTATGGGTGTGGGCGGATGTGGGTGTGGGTACGGCGTGTGGATGTGGATGTGGGGTGTGGGTGGCTGTGGATATGTGTGTGGGGGTATGGACGTGAATGAGTGTCTTCTCTCTAACTGCACCCACACCCACACCCACACCCACACCCACACCCACACCCACACCCACACCCACATCCACCATCCACACCCCACACCCACACATCCACACCCATATCCCTACTCTATAGTTCTTCTAATTTTGTTTTTGTATGGTTCAATTATCAGCTTTTCTATAATATCCTATCCGAAGAGTTCATTCATGTAATAAGTTTTCTAGTGATGTTTGACATGAATATATATGTATATTCAGCCATAAATAAGCCGTAGGTTTTCTTAAGACTTGGCTTCCAAGTTTTCTTTTCTTATCCACATTCACGCGCAGCCATGCTAATTAGAATCGTCAGTGCGAAATGTTTCATTTATATCAGTTGGTATCGCCAGATATTTTCAATAATACTTATACAAAATGTAACCGTTTACTAGAGTTTTCAACGATGTAAATAAATCGAATAAACAAAAAAAGACTTTTTTTTATCATTATTCAAACATGTTTTAGAGTTCTCTTTGAAAAAAATAGAACTTTCAATAAGATCAAAATGTGTTTACAAAAATTCTATAGAAAAGAGTTTATTTTAACCACAAGGACGTTTGTATTGCAAAACACGTTGTTTATACATCTCTACAAATTTGAAACATAGTGCCGCTTGTTCCTGTAAATTGGCGTGTAAATGGTTCCATAATCGTTCCAAAAGATCATCTCCATGATCAAATATCATCATTTTATCACAATAGTCCAGTCCCCATTCCGCATAAGCTTTAACTGAGCCACAAAAAAGAAAGATTTGTATAACATTTGAAGAATCATAGATTTTTGGGACAATATCTCTAGCAAATGAACCCGAAATAATAAGATAAATCGATTGATCTGGATGAGATTGGATATATTGAATACAACCATTTATATCTGTGAATGTTTCTGCATCACCAAGTTTAATGCGAAAGCTACTCATTGGATCTGATGAATTTGCATCGAGCCAAAGAATTCTGAACTGGAACATTATGGCTGTATTTGTTTTGATTGCTTGTACTCAAATGAAAAAATATGGTATACGTTTGAAAGATTGTCATATATATATATATGACTACAAAAAAGAAGATCACGGGTAGAAATTCTGCATTATTTTATGGGAATATTGCAGAAATTTGTTTGTTTAATGATTGTGCAAGATCACAACAGGAAAAAGCCATCGACCACCATTTATGATTCACTTGCTCGAATAAAAAATGAAACTTGTTTTTTCCATTCTTTCGCATGTTCGTAATGGGTTTCTTACAAGTAAAAAGACCAACAGAAAGAGAAAAAACAAACATGAGTCATTATCATTGATGATTGTCGTTCGGTACTCAAAAAGAACAGTCTTAGATAATCGTACACGACCGTGTTTCATCATAGATCTCTGTAATTTTCTATGATTTCGTGATAATTCTATATATTCCGGCATAATTTATAAGTGTAGAAATATGTTTTTTTCTTTCAAAATTACTTTAAACGATCAGATTTGTCGTTTAATTGACACTATCTTTAAACTGACTTTTAGATTTTCCCTAGACTGAAAGGCTAGGGTCTAGAAACGGAAATTCACCTGTGTCTGTCTGTCTGTCTGTAACACTTGGTACAAAGTCCATATTCGTGGTACAAAGTATCATAGCCGTGGTGCAGCTAACCATTTTCATGGTACAAAAGTACCACTTTGGTGGTACAGGCCACCATTTATTTGACACAATGGGCCATTTTCATTATACAGATGACCGTTTGTATGGCTCAATTCAGTATTTTCGCGGCACAATCAACCATTTCTATAGCACAGTTGACCATTCTTATGGCTCAAATGAGCATGTTTGTGTCACAATTCGCCATGTCCGTATTAGAAATGGCCATTACTTTGACATAAATCACCATGTTAGTCGTTATAATTAACTTAAGCATAAACTTTATCATATACATTAGCATCTTTCAATATTTTTGTGAACTATTTGAATATATCTACAGCATGTAATATAGAAAATGTTAGAAATATTAATAATTTCTCCCAAACTCATCATTATACAGAATTCATTTTTATTTAAAAATATAAGGACATCTTTGTCATCATTCCGTCAGTCTAGGGCCAAGTGAATCAAAATTCAATGTTCATGAACGTTACTTATTTGTAAAAATGACAATAAAGTCTAATACAAATGAATTGAGTAATTCCATAGAATACAAATACTCTAATTTATTATCAATGTGTTTTCAAATGATCTAAAATAATACTGGATAAATTGGAAATGAACACTTAAGATCATCAATAAGAAGATTGAATATATTTATTTTACAATGGGTAAATCCATGGGAAACGTACCACTTTATACATGACGTTCTCAGAATTGGCTGAGATTCTCAGAGTTTGTAGAGCTCAATGAGCTGATCATTTTGGTAATAAATGATTAAAGGTTTGATTCTGAATTAGGGTCGAAATAGGCAAAATACATTTTTCAACAATTCCGGAAAATCATGGTTAAAGTGAAAAGTTCTCATTTTTGCGAGAACATTTTCTCTTTTATTTCAAGAACAAATTGAAACATTCTATATATATTCTGATAGCCCATGCCCAGCTCTATCGAATCATATATGATTCAAAATGTTTCCATTTTTTAAGAAAAATTTTTAATTGAACCACAAAAAGTTCACTGCACCACAAACTTTATCTTCTAATAAAAAACTCCTTCCAAATTTGGGTGAATTGTGGTCTAGTAAGTTTTGTAGAGCGTCAAACGCTCTATCTTGTGACATATAGAGCTTTGCAGTCGTTTTCGGTTTTCGTGCATTAGAGAGCCATAATGTTTATCTACTGCTGTTTTGTGAAAATTTTAGTTCATATTTCTGGACTTTTCAAAAGAAAAACTCAATAAACTAATCTGAAACTTTTACCCCAAAGAAATCTCACTTATTAGAGTAGCAGTTATAAAAAATTTATTGACATTATTTTCTCTTTCATATGAGCAGTCATCCTATTCCGCGATGTTGCACATTGCGGAATCAGTTCCGCCCCAGGAATCAATTCCAACGATTCCGGAGTCACATCCACGCTGCACGACATTCAATTCCGGAATCCATTCTAACAGTTTCTAGATATTCCGGAATCGATTCCAGAAAATACCAGCAATTCCTCACAGCGCCGTCTAATTCCGGAATCGAATGAAACCGGAATCGGTAGGAATTACTAGGAATTCCGGAATTGCTATACCTAGTATTATTCTATCATCTCTTATGAATCTAATGATGATCCAATTCCGGAACGGAATTCCTGGGGATTCCGTCTCGACTCAATTCCCGGAATTCCGTGCCGGAATTACTTAATTATGCGAGAGGATAATCTTCTGTCACATCACCATGCGTGAGGGTGAGGGGAAAAGTGATTCCGCTACGGAATTCCGGGAATTGAGTCGAGACGGAATTACATGGAATCAGAGGGAATTCCTAGGAATTCCGTCCGATTCCAGAATTCCGGGAATTGAGTGGAGATTGTATCCCCACCAACTCCGGAATTGGAATCAATTCCAGGAATTCCGGAATCGGACGAAATTCCTAGGAATTCCTGGGAATTCCGTCCAATTCCATGCGATTCCGTCTCGACTCAATTCCCGGAATTCCGCGCCGGAATTACTTACTTATGCGAGAGGATAATCTTCTGTCACAACACCATGCGTGAGGGTGAGGGCGAAAAGTGATTCCGCTACGGAATTCCGCGAATTGAGTAGAGACGGAATTACATGGAATCAGAGGGAATTACACGGAACCGGACGGAATTGCACGGAATTCCGTCCGATTCCGGGAATTCAGTGGAGGTTGTATCCCCACCAAGGTCGGAATTGGAATCAATTCCAGCAATTCCGGAATCGGACGAAATTCCTAGGAATTCCGTCCAATTCCATGCGATTCCGTCTCGACTCAATTCCCGGAATTCCGTGCCGGAATTACTTA